TATAGACATAAGATTATAATGAAACTCTGGCACAAACAAAACATCATGTAACTCTTCTGTTTCTGTGATTTTGCAAGCACCAGTATGAGTTACCAAAGTCACACCTCCATTTGGTAAATGTACTTTGCTATTCTGATTTGTCTTAACAGTACGCACATTATGTAATAAATCCAGATTAGAGGTCATGTGATTTGTTGCTCCACTATCTATGATCCATTTCAAACCTGTAGTTGTAGACATAAGATTTTGGACCATACCTGCCATGTTAGCCATTGCATTAACAGTAGAAACATTCCCATCTAGCATATTCATGATATGTCCATGCTGATCTGTAGTCAGTTGAGGTGCTCTTTGCAGATTTTCATTAATTGAAGAATCCATGCTTTTACCTCTAGCACTAGCACCTTCAGTTTGAACATTGTAGGCATTATTAGTATTTCCAGTTCCCTTCTTTTTTAATTTCCAATCAGGTGGATATCCATGAAGTCTGAAACAATTACTCTCCACATGACCTTGCATATTGCAGTAATCACACTTCAGATCCCAATTTTTCTTCCCCTTATTATAGTATGTAGGCTGTGATGTAGAATCCTTGTTGTAGTTTTGTGGAACTGTTCCCCTGTTGTATTTATGAAATGACCCCTTCCCTGCCATGAGAGCTGCCAGATCTGTTCCTTCACCATTTAAAGATGAAGATGCCATAGATATATGACTCTCTCGTTCAACAAGCATGGCACAAGCCTTGTTTATGTTAGGAGTGGGTTCAATCATTAAGATCTGACTGCGCGATTGATCATAGTTCTCATTTAAACCCATTGTTGACACCCAATTTTGACCCTCCATGATTTGATTAAATTTTAAAAGCTTCTTAGATCTTAAACAAATGAAATAATTGATTTTATCTATAAAATAAAAATTAAAAAAAATCTGCCTTTCCCACATCATTTCTCAAACAATTTCAATTTTGCAATAGTCCCACATCGCTATTTTATCTTTTTTGAGGATATTTGGGTTTCTATATAAACCCACTTCATTCAATATTTTAAGGAGAAGGGAGGAAGACAAAAGAATACTCCTAAAATTTGGAGAATTCTTGATTCTCATAGTTCAAAAATTTTAAAAGTGTTTTTTTTTGTGGTTTTTTGAGTTGAAGGGTGGAGTCGTCTCCTTCAAACTCGTAGTTCCGATTCGTTGCCCAGAACCAGATAAATTTTTTTTTCTTAGCCTTGTTTTATGTAATTCCTAGTCTTTTATGCTTTTTATTTGGTGTTATTAGCTTTGTTTTAGTTTTCCTGTTTTCTGTTTTCTGTATTCTCATTGTTATGATTTTGGTTAGAAATTTTCCTAGCATCTTTGGTGTTTTGTTTGTGTTTTCTTATCCAAGATTAGTTTTAAAGTCTATTATATTTTGGATTTAGTTCTTACACTTGTTCTTGTAGAAATTAAGCATCTGGTTCGCGTTGGCTCATATCTTTTATTTTTTTAAGTTCTTCGATTAAGATTTTTTTTTTCTCTTCTTTACTTTATTTTTATACACTTTACAGATTGTTCATTTATTTATTATTATTATTGCTTAAATTATTGACGAGTTTGAGTCCTAGGAAAATCTGCAAAATTTTTGCTTCAATACCTTTCTGCCCACTTCTTAAATATTTTGAATTAGAATAGGACATCCATAATTGCTATCCATTGCTTTCTGTTTCTTTGCTCAAATTGTTTGTTGCACCATGTAGTTAGGATTAGCTGGTGGCTTTATCTTGTATTGGTCGAGGTTTGACATGTTTCTTCTATTTGAATCAGTTTGATTATTTTGCTTAAGCTAAGATATATGGTTAATTTCTTTTCCCCGTTATCTGTGTGCATTAAACCAGATTTATTGTCTCTTTCATTCTCTTCAAAATTAGCTTTCACATAAAGTTTGTCAACTTATCCTCGCTTAGTGTTTGAACTAGTTTGATGTTAAGTTTGTATATTTGGATTCCGTCATATAGCTTCTTTCTATCAGCGACCTTTACATGATATGAATCCACCACTAGTTAATAAGATTGATTTCTAATTTTGTTATCTCTTCCAATGAGATCAATTGTTCTATGTTCTAATCCAACTTTAGAGAATTGACTCAAACAAGATGTTCCAAAGTTCTCAAGTTATATTTGCAATTTTATTGGCTTGTGGTATGAATATTTGTTGTTCTTTTAGATTTTTGCCCACCAATGGTGTTGATGAATTGAGTCTGTTTTTTTAAAAAAATTAATTCTTATTTTTGGTCTGTCTATGAAGTTAATCCATGTTGTTAATCTCTTATAGTTGAAGTTGTGTAGCGATTAATGGAAGCATTTATGTGGCCAAGTGATCTCTTTGTTGTTTGATCTTTATTGAAGAGGTCAAATATGTAGTTAAGACTTGTTGTTCATACATGCTCTTTAAATTTATTTGTTACTAATCCTTTCTCTTTTCTTTGAATTTTACATGAACTATTTTATTTGAGTCCATCCGGACTCCCTTCTCTTGCATTATTTCACTTCTTGAGTCAACTTTCTTCGGAGTCGCGAAAGGGAGTTACGTTATTGGGTTTAAACACCCAAAAAACGCAGCAGCAGCAGCAGCCTTAAAAGGCCGAAACCGAAGAGCAAAATTGGGTTAAAATCCCACAAAACCAGCAGCAATAGCAGCAGTTCCTTATGGGACTAGAACTGGAAATTTTTTGGACTTAAAAAAGTCCTAATACGGGCAGCGGCGGTAGCGGCAAATGGACTTGATGTCCAAATTTCATTTACACTTTGCTTTCATTACATATTGTGACTTTGTGTTCTAACATCTACCCTTTATTAATTTAGGTGAATTTCCGGAGAGATTTTTACTCCAAGTCTTCAAATTCGAAATTCGGTTTAAGTTAAATAGCTTAAGCTTATTAGAATAACTAAGAACTTTTTATGTTCTTTCATAGTTATTAGAAAGCTTTGAATCCATGTTTACGAGTTTGAACTAACTATTTAGTTCAAATTTTTTAATAGGAAAAAATTGACGAAGTTTCTCAAAATATGTGTTAGGTATCTTCTAACTTTGTAGGATGACTTGAGGATTTCCTTCATATCCTTTCATAGTTATTAAACAAGGTTATCTATTCCATGTTATAAGTTTGAATGAATTATATGTGATTCAAAATTAAAATGTGGATAGAAGTTTCAAGATAAATCTTGAGACTTTTAGAAGTATCACAGATTTATATTTAAGTTTTCAACAAGAACTTTTGAGTAGTTTGAAATAAATAAGTAAATAAATAATTAAGGTTTTTTTTTAAGTATTCTTAAGATTTTTCTTAAAATTAGCCAACTTTGAAATTCGTCGGTCAACCGCATGTTAGCGGATTTTCTAAGGTGCCTAAACCCTTCCTTAGAGAATTATTTGAACCCTTACCCAAAACTCTGATTTTATGTTTTCTTTTAAACTTCATTTTTATTTATTTGGTTTTCTTAATTTTTCCTAAAAGATTAAGTGGCGACTTCCTAAAATTAAACATTTTCCAAAATTAGCCAAAGTTGCGAAATCGACTTTGAAATCCTTTAGTTTTCGAAATCGGATCGTAACACCCATTAAGAACTGCATTAGCTTTTGTCTTTCCAAATGCATAGAAAAATCCTTTGAATTAGAGCATTGACAAGAAGGTGGTATAATGCTTGCAAACTCATCCCATAAATTCCTTATCTTAGAAAACTATGTAGGAATACAATCATTACCTTGTACAGTCATAGCTATAGCTTTATGCAATTGATAAATCCGAGATGCATTTACCTTGTCAAAATGATCCCTGAGATCCTATGCAATTGATAAATCCGAGATGCATTTACCTTGTCAAAATGATCCCTGAGATCCTCCCAGACTGCTCTTGCACTAGTTGCATAGACTATGCCTGTGTGTAATTCCTGAGTTACAGAACTCATAATCCATCCTTGAACAACTGCATTACATCGATCCCATTGATGCCCTAACTCAGCCCCGAAATCTTCCTTTTTCCAGCTGCCATCAACAATTCCTAGCTTGTTTTTCCCAAGCAATTGAATTCTCATAGCCCTGCTCCATACAGAGTAATTATCGGATCCTGTTAGCTGCATTGGAATGATAGAAACACCAGTGGTGTCGGAAGGGTGCAAAAACAGTGCGTGATAATGATCAAACTTAGTCGTCGCCATTGATGAAGCTAGACGAAGCTTGAGTTCACACAATCAACTTCAATAAACCTCACAATTGTAGGTGTAAGGCTCTGATACCATGTTAAATTCAGAATAATTGCTCAATCTAAGACTCTATTGATGAGCACCTTGAGAAGAAGAAGAAGAAGAATCTTTTTTCAATACGATGAGAAAAATGCTTGCTAACAGAATACAATGGAACAATGATATATATATACACTGTTCATCTCTAACCAACTTAACCACTTTGCCTAAAATTCCTTAACTAACTTTACATTATCAAGTAATTCCTATTTCATTAGCAATTAACTCTAGAAATATTTACTGGAAATCTACATCTTACCGTTTTTTTTTAAAGTTGCCTTTCATGTTTGCCCCGTTTTCCTTCATCATCTTCTCTCTATACATTTTCTATTTTGTCCTCCACAAATAAACTTTCTTCAAATTTCAAAAAAAAATAAAATAAAATACTTCTTCTGTTTTGATTACTTGTCCAATTCTTTTTATAGTTATCTCTAGTTACTTATCAATCATGACAAATCAAAAATAAAAAATTATTTTTATCTATATACCCTCAATAAATTATTTTTAAAAGATAAAAAACTTGTTGAAAACTTAAATTTAATTTAACCACATCATAATAAATGAAGATAAAATAATAAATTCAGTGTTTCAAATGGACAAATAACAGAGTTACATGGAGTAGCTTAATTGGGGTAAATCGTAAAGTTAAAGAGGATATAAGGTATTAAAATTTTTTAAAAAAGACTCGTAAGTCAATATTGGTCAAATGTTTTTTTTTAAAAAAATACCACAATTGTTATCTCTCTGAATGTGACATTTTTGAGATCTTTCCACCCAAATGAAAAAAAAATCATCTATGACAGTGCCTAATTTTTATCCATAATTCGAAATGCAGTTGTATTAATATTGGAATGTTCCGGATCGAACGTATGATTTATAAAACAACTTATAAGTTAGAAATTAAAAGTCATAACTAGGCAGTATTTTATGTTTAACTTTTGATTTATTTTTAAATGCAAGTAATCACTTTAAGCTTTTCCAAACACCTTTATAAAAAAAAAAAAAGAAAATTATTTAGAAGTAAAAAATATGTAAAAATAAAATACTAGAAACGGACGCTAAAAAACCGCCGGCACGAGTTGCCACATCAAAAAACGTATACTAACCTCAAATCCTAGGGTCGTTACTATTCATCTTTTTTTTTTTAACCTTTGAAGAAATTGAAGAGTTTCTTCTAAATATGATTCCAAATTGCTCTCCAACACAAGCACTAATTCTTATTGGCCGGTGATCTTTCTCATAAAGTTGTACCACTTTCCTATTCCACTCTGAAAATTAGTGCATGCATGTATACATATCCATTTTCCCAACTCTCTATATATATAGCCCACCAACTCAAAAACATATATAACAAAACTTTCCATGGAGAATTATTCATCTCTTAGTTGTGAAATACAAATCATAAGAGCAAGAAACGTGGATCGAACATTGTTAGGAGGGAGTTTGTTTGTTAGATGCTATCTTTATTCAGGAGATGATCAAAGAGTTGAAATAAAGAGCCAAGAAATAATCCCATCAAAATCAGGTGATCACTTGTTTTGGGATGAGTCTTTCTCATTGGATTGCTCTGGAAGTCAAGATTCCATTAATCGTCTCAAACAAGGTAGTGTAGTCGTGGAACTTCACTCAAGAAAAAATCTTCTTCTTCTTCTTCCAATTTTAGGTGGTTCAAACATGTTTGGAAGGGCTGAAATTCCATGGAGAAGTGTTTTTGAGTCGAAAAACATGGAGATTATGGAGTGGGCAATTATGGATAAAGTGAATGATGTGAAGCCAATGGCAGTGCAAATCGCAATGAAGATAAGGGTAATAGAGACAATAAAAGTGAAGAAAAATATTAATTCTAAGTTGAGAAGATCATCATCATCATCATGTGCTTGCATGGACTATTGTGGGTGTAATAGTAGTAATGTTTTTAGGGTTGATGATTATCAAGTCTTTGCACTTGGAGCTGCTCTAGGTGCCTTGTAACTTGTTAGTGATAGCGTGCATGCCCACCCCAATCAACTCAGGATCAAGTATGGTACCCTGTGTGACAAACTACATTCAAGTTTCCTTCTACTTAATTAGAAGGAAAATATATTTAATGAGTAATAACGAATTTCAATTTGCTTTAAGTTGTAATTTATGTATGAAGATTTTTATATAAACAAATGAAAATAATTAGAAAAAACATTTTCCTATCAATTAATCCAAATCAAGTAATCAAAATAAATACTTCCTCCGTTTTAAAAAGGGTGACCCAGTTAGACTTGAAACGAAATTTAAAAAAAAAAGAAACTTTTAAATTTTATGATTCTAAATTAAAGTTGTACCAAAAAGTCCTTTAATCTTGTAATTTACATATCATATGAAAAGTTAAAATTAAATTATTATCAAAAAAAAAGGAAAAAGACTATTCTTTTTTAAATAATTTTTTTTAAACAAGTAATAAATATATTATCTAAGTTAATGTATTTACAAAGGATTAACCATAATATATATTAAAGCCGATGATCAAACTGACCATTCCAATACCGTGAGGCGCCAACTAATTTTAGAACTCATTGTATAGCGGGTCCCACTCCCATGAGGTTGAAAAAAACATGTGGCTAACGCCTTTAACAGCGTTATCAAAGTTGCTGGTTTTTGCTTTTCTTGGATAATAAAGTAATCAATGCTACAAAACAATACTCACTCCGATATTTTGCACCAAATGGAGTATTTGATTTTTAAAATTAAAGTAAAAATTTTGTTAGACAAACACATAAATTTGTATTGTATTTTTCCGATGAGATATTTTAAAGTAAAAGCAAAAGAGAAGTGGAGGTATCAGCTGAGTTGAGGATGAATAGAGCAACACCTGTACGGAGCTCCCATACCACCACCGCCGATCTGCTCACCTGGTCGGAGGTTCCGCCGTCCTCTAACTCTTCCTCTGTCGCCGCTTCCCGCAGTGCTTCTCGTTCTCATCAGGCGAGTCATTTATTTGGTCATTTTAATTTATTGCGCCATTTGGGTGGTTTTGCTTATATTTTTGCTCCTTTCGCTGGCAGCCTTCTGATGGAATTAGTAAGGCTGTGTTTGGTGGTCAGTTAACTGATGAAGAAGCTGATAGCTTGAACAAACGGTAACTCACAGACACAAAAGTCATTGATTAATCTCTTTGTTCTAGCATGCTTAATTTTTAAATGTTTAGATCTTTACTCGACATTATCATGTTTCTCCTGGATCTGATTGATGCATTTTATCATATTATTTTTGCTGATATGCATCTGCTCATGCATGTCTTTCCTGATCTATATCTAATGCTCTTTGTTTAAATTGCAACTTTGTTTAATGTGACTCCAAATCTCTCATGCTATCAAAATGAGCTTTATTTCTTTGGGAAGTTGCCCTAATTACTGAAATTCGGTAGAGCCAGGGGTCAATGAGCCCAATTGTGTTGATTACTTCACATAGCTAAGTCTTCAACATCATTGGTTTAATCTAAGTAGGTGTTTGGCCATATGATCTGGTACCCCAATTTGAAATCAACATTTGTTTATTAGTTCTGTACCAAATTTTAACTTCAATTTCAAATTCCAAATTCCAAATTCTTGCCACCATTTGAAATTTCCAGTAGCAGAAAATTTAATAATTGATACGCCTGGAAATGGTTTAGCATATGGTAGGACAATCAGAATTGGACTAATGGGGGTAGCATCGACAATTTGTGGTATCAAGAATATATAGTTTCTGTTCATATGAGAAATAACAAGTTGATATCAACACACCGCACTAAAAGAAAACACTTGAACTGCTACTAACTGTGAGGATGAGTTATTAACACTTTTATTTTGAATTTATCTTATTCTCAAATTCTTTTGAAATATGTGAGGGATTGTTAGCAATATAATAATTATTTCAAAAGATTTATTTGCAAATCAAGTTACTTTGGGTCAAAATGAGGCATTTTACATGCGACCCTAACTTGATGACCAAGGGTCACACGTAAAATGTCTTACTTTTGCCCAAATTAACTTGATATCCAAATAATTCCTATGAAATAATTATTATATTGCTAACACTTACTTATAAGAAAGAACATGAAAATATGTGATTTATTATTTCGACGCCTTAGGATATTTCGACACTTTATTTATGAATTATAATTTACTTATTTGGTATGATTGTATAAGAATTGGGGAAGTTCTGATAATTCTCACTTTTCACAAATTATGGGGTTTTCATATTTATGCGAAAAAATAAAACTTAAGAAAACCAAGTTACATGTCCAAATGAAATTTCAACTCCAAATAAATGTGATTTCAAATGATCACACACAGAGTTGACAAAGTGGTGTCACCATACATGGAGTTGAGTTGCTTGTTTGTGATACTGTGATGCATGACATTTATTTGCAGACATTTCATTTTCTTCTTCTGCGGTTGATATCTGGATTCTGGTACATGCATTTTAAAACTGGGACATCTGAAGTGTTCTGATGGAAAGTGTAAAAATTTCAAGTATTTCACTAACAAGTGAGAACTCTGCTCGGCAAAATTTTAGGGAAAAAAAAGTCTATGATGAACAAGGCCAAGTTTTATGGCCCTTAAGATTATATTACCAGAATCTGAAAATTCAGACATCATCAGGATTAAATTGGTGAAAATTACAGCTTCGTACTGGTCTTTGTTTGCTTTGAAAAGCCAAAATTACTCAATTCTATTAATGCCCTCATCTTTGGTCTACTTGAAATAGGTTGTATTCATTTTTGCACATTTTTTATGCCATTTTGGAGATTAGTAATTGTTTATGATGTTTCGGAAACTAATATTGCTTAAGAATATAACTTATATAAGTAGCAAAAGGCTGCCAAGAATTAAATGGAGGACGAAATGCCAAGTTGCTTGTCCTTTGTTATCTCTTCACTGACCAGTGATTTTGTTCAGTTAGGTGTGTGGAGATGAATGGCACTTCTAGGTTGACATTTAATTTTGTGTTGGCTCTTTTCTCCCACATCTTCAGACTAGTGAAAGCAAAATCTGGATTGTGTTTTATAATGTTTTTGTCTTAACTCGTAATAAATTGAACGAAACTGATGTAAGAGAGGAGGTCCTGTTTGGAAAAGAAATGAAAAATCCAGTGACTCGAGAACAACTTTGAAGTTATGTACTGTGATCCTTTGGACTAAGTCTTGTTGAAACTTGTTTTCAGCAAACCTTGTTCAGGGTATAAACTGAGGGAGATCAGTGGCAGCAATATATTTTCTGATCATGATGAAGATGGTAAATCAGAATCTGGAACTGATTATGGTAATTTTACTAACAGGACATCAGTGCGCATTGTTCAGGTATCTTTTTCCCTCTTTTTAAAGAAAAATGATAAACAGTGTGAGCGTGCAGCCTAAAATTTGGAAACTGGTGAATGGAGATTTAATCAAAATATTTATGGTGCATTGTAGCAAGCTGCAAATGGAATAAGCCAAATTTCATTCAGTACTGAAGAAAATGTTTCCCCAAAGAAGCCTATCACTCTGACCGAAGTGGCAAAGCAACGTGAGTTGAGTGGAAATTTAGAAATTGAGTCAGATATCAAAGTCAAGAAGCTGCTATCAGATGCAAAGACAAAGGAGCTTAGTGGAAATGATATTTTTGGCCCTCCTGAAGAAGTTCCTCCTAGATCCCTGGCTGCTGCACGTTCGATGGAGTCGAAAGAAAGCAAAGACATGGGTGAACCTGCTCCACGAACTGTACGCACATCTGTTAGGGTTTCTAATGTGAGTTGCCTTCATAATTCTTTGAAACAAATGATAAAGAGTTGGGACAATGTTGATGTTTTTAATATGACGAGATTCCTCAGGTGGCTTTTAAGTTGAGAGAAGTTTAGGTTAATATCCAGTAAGATGATTATAAACTCGCTCTGGAAGTTATAAGAACTGGTCAAATAACTTGGATGTAGTGCTTCAGGTGGCTTAAGAATTCAAAGGACAAAAAGAGTTGCCATCTGATAAGACACATTTTAACAAAACCAGAAGAAATCAATGACTCTTAAGTGGTCTATTTTCTCCCGAGTCTGATGGTCTCTAAGATTGATGTTTATTGCTTAATTGTTTCAAGTTTTTCTTAACTTGGGCCTCTACTCTATTATTTGCTCTTATTACCCTTGCTGTATTTTGCAGCCTGCTGGTGGTCAAAGCAATATCTTGTTTGGGGATGAACCTGTTGTCAAGACAACAAAGAAAATACATAACCAGAAGTTTGCAGAATTGACAGGCAATGACATTTTCAAGGGAGATACTCCTCCTGGATCGGCGGAGAAGACACTGAGCAGTGCTAAGCTGAAAGAAATGAGTGGTAATGATATATTCTCTGATGGAAAAATTGAATCTAGGGATCACTTTGGCGGTGTGCGCAAACCACCTGGTGGAGAAAGCACTATCAGATTAGTGTAATGTCATCAAATGGCTCTTATGTTGACCGGCAGTGCCACATTGCAGTTGCTTTCTGACTAGTTAGAACGTCTGGCAGTTAGGATTGAGGATTGTAAAATTTGATGTGTCAATACTCTTAATTTGTGACAAAATGCAGTGTGTTTCTCTGCTTAACTGTTGTAGGAGTTTATAGGTTAGCAATAACCCATTCTATTTGCCGATGGTTTGATCAGTTGATCTATGATGGGTCCTATCTGATATTGAATTAGTACGATCAGTCTGTCAGTACAGGGAAAGAACCACGGCCCACCCAAGTGGCACTGGACCATTATGTTAAAATACAGAAATCTAAATTGGAAAAGTGAAGAGATAGCTTTCAGCTACATGTTGATGAGCTCCTTTTAGTGCAAGTCTTGTTAGAAATAAGTATCTATGCCTAATGTCTCGTCATTGCCTGGTTCACCTTGTCTCATGCATTTACAAGATGAGAAATTTGCTTTCTTTACCTTAATTGTTGCCAATGCCATCGATGAAAGTTCAGAAAGAAAGATGTGCAAATGATGTTCTTCAAGTAGAAACAAAACAAGGACGGGTGAAAGAGCGATTCCACTGGGGATCGAACCCAGAATCTCTGGTTTCGTAGACCAGCGCCTTATCCATTGGGCCATGGAATCGTCGATGTTGTATTGTGCTAAAACAACAGTTATAATGACACATCAGTAATTGAAGACATGCACCAAAAAAAAGTAAGGAGATACATCTATCATCTATTAAAATTTCAAATACA